TTTTTTTTTTTTTTTTGCATGTTATACAGATAAGAAAACGTATTTTCAGTATAAGGAAGGTATTATGGTACTTTTTGATTGACACAATGAAAACCTTATATCGTATTAACATTTTAAAAAAAAAAATAAAAAATTTTTAATTTTTTCTCTCTCTTAAAATATAAATTATATTTATTATAACTATCTTTTTTTTTTTTACTTAAAATATAATTTAAAAAGGGACTTTTGTTAAAATTTCCCTTAAAAAATGGCACGAAAGTTGGCGTTAAAAAGATTAAAGATTATTGTACATACAATATAGTACCTTTTTAGTTATTATCTTTTATACATTTTATACGTGTTTAAAATGAACACGACATTATTTATACCTAGTATCCTTAGTATTACGCTTAAGTATCCTTAGTATTACACTTAGTATACTAAATATTAAAATTTTATACACTTGGTTGGTATTAAAAAATTACATTCAAGTATTAAAAAATTATATGTAAAATACAACAATTGTTAATTTCTTAAAATTTATCTAGAATCTTTAGATGATGATATCCTTAAACTCTTAATTTTATAATTTTTAATTCCAATAATGAGTTTACTGCGCCATTCTCATTACCTGATGTCTATCGGAGAATCGCCGAATCTATATATTTTATATTACTTTGTATTAGAAATTTTTTTTTTTTTTTTTTTTTTTTAAAAAAAAAAAGAGTAAGTTATTTTATTCTATGTATTTATATAATACCTGTTACATATGATTTAATCTAAATTTTTTTTTTTAAAAAAAAAAATCAATACATTCTATTACATATATTTTTATGTATTATTGAACTTGATTTACTTATTTATATTACTTATATTTATATTCGGTCATTTGCCACAAGATGAACTCCGTCAAACACAAAATATAATGGGTTAAAATTAAAAGTACGTTATTTTTAAAAGATGATTGTCGGATATTAAAATTATCAATTTTTCCGTTTTTACTTTATATAGTTTCTTTGATTATTTTTTAAAAAAAAATCTAACATTTTAATTGGTTGATCTAAGAAATACAGAAATTAGAAGTAATTGTGCAAAAAGTAGAGTGATGTATTGTAAGTTTTGATATTCTTAAAATTAGTATGATTCAAATTTATTTCTTTTTTATGTTATGACTTTTTGATCATGAATCAAAGAAGTGTTAATAAATGTTGAATTCAATCTTTATTCACTTACAACCCGTTTAATAATAGGATTTACTGTTTATACAGTTTACTTTGAGAACGCGTAGATTCGCAACATTCATACCTAAAGAATCAGATCGTTTTCGAAATACTTAGTTTCTTTGAAATTATCTCTTCAAATTCATCCAATGCCAGTCGATTAGGACTATGGAGTTTTAGTAGACAATGAATATTAGATCATTATTAGATGCGGTCATTATTCACCTATTTAGAACTACTTAACTGGATGATTGGATGAGCAGGTATCCAATATTTTTTATTCTTTCACCCAATAATGTTGAGGCGCAGTAAATTCAACTAGAGTTAGATCAGTTAGATCAAAGGGTTTTCTTTCATAGAGAGATTTATTATTATAGTCGATTCAATTTTAGCAATTATTCTATTTAGAAGATAAGCCATTAATTTCATGTATTTCATGTGAAAAAAAAAAAATAAATAAACTTGTCACGATTACTAAATCATTTTTTTTATAACAAGAACGAAAAAAATTTCACATATTGGGAATATTTTCTAAGTTATGTAATGTTTCTTTTATCAATAATGTTTCATAATATTTCATCAATAATAATAATAATAATGTTTCATCAATAATAATAATATTTTTTTAATATTATCAAAAACAGTATAACAATCTTTCTTTTTGCTTATATAAAATATTATCACAATAATATGTTTATAAAGATTATTAACGTTTTGGGGGGGTTTTTTTTTTCAAAAGAATTTTTTTTCTCTCATCATCTTTTTGCTTTTTTTTTTTCTGAAATCTTTTAATAATGATGGCAGGATTTGATGAATTTATGACTAAAAATGTAAATAATCGTTTCATTTTAAAAATTTGCTAAAAAATTTACTTTGTTATATTTTATTAACATCACAAATTATTAATTTTAATTTTAATAGGCTAATAATACTGAAACTGATCTTAAAGAACGTAAGAGAGTATATCATTATCATTATTCTAAAGAATTTAATGAAGAAGAAACTAAACAAGATAATAATAATTCATCCGATATTGGAATTAAAGCGGATGATGATATTTTCGTAATAATGTCTTGTTTGTTAAATCGTTTAAAAAAAAATTCTATTCTTTATTGGAATAAATTTTCTCAATATCCTCCTCAAATCAAATTATTATCATTTACTATTATCATAATTTTGTTATCCATTTATTTTGTAAGTTTTTGATATGTTTTCTTTTTTTTGTTGTCAAAGATGTTCAAGATGTTCAAGATGGTTAAAATTGTTGTTATAATGTTATAAATAAATATAGATGATTCCAACCTCTCAACCATCTTATTTTATAAAAAAATTCGCTGATTCCACAAATGATATCTTTAGTGAAATCAATACAATTGATCTTCCAGGTATGTATATTGTATTGCAAACCAATTTTTTTTTTCTTTTCGTTCCCTTTAACACTTTAATCTTTTTAATTCCTTCAATAATCTTTATCTCTCTAATATTAAATCTCTTCAATCTCTTCAATCTCTATTCTCTTTAATCCCTTAATCTCTTTAATCTTTTTAAATCTCTTAAATTCCTTTAATCTCTTCAATCTCTTTAATCTCTAATCTTTTTAAATCTCTTAAATTCCTTTAATCTCTTTAAATCTCTTTAAATCCCTTTAAATCCCTTTAATTTCTATTCTCTTTAATCCCTTAATCTCTTCAAATCCCTTTAATTTCTATTCTCTTTAATCTCTTTAAATCTCTTTAAATCCCTTTAATTTCTATTCTCTTTAATCCCTTAATCTCTTCAAATCCCTTTAATTTCTATTCTCTTTAAATCCCTTTAATTTCTATTCTCTTTAAATCCCTTAATTTCTATTCTCTTTAAATCCCTTTAAATCCCTTTAATCTCTTAGCTTCGGATGCGATTATGGCACATACAGTATCATGCCGACGTGCTGCAAACATGATAGAAAGAAGTCCAGCTTTTAAAAATAATGGAAAAATGATTGCTTCAAATTTAAGATTATTTGGAGAAAAAGTTATGATAGCAGGTCAAGATTTACGTAAAATGTATCGTAAAGGTTCTTTTGTTTTTACAGCTTTTGATATAGAAATTGATGCTATGATGAAAAAATTGGAAAAATTAGAATATGGTGATATAAAATATTTTAGTAATAGATTAAATAAATTAGCTGATATAATTAAAGAATTTCGTATTATGGTAGCAGATACAATTAAAAGTGTAACAGATGCTGAAAATACTAGAGATGGTACTGAAAAATATATTATTGAAGGTATAAGAGAAGCTGAAAATTTTATTGTTGATTTTAAATCAAATTCAGTTGAAATAACTAAATCAAAAGTTGACCTTCAAATTACAAATGATATTATGAAACATTTACATAATGCTGCTTTACATTTAGATAAAGTTAATAAGATTTTAATAGATTATGAAGATAAATTATATGATTTAAGTACTGAAATGAGTCAAATTACAACAGGAGGTTATGATGATATTCTTAACCTATCTAAAACTGATCTTAAATATTTAAAAAATTCCGTAGATATTTTGAAAAAGACTCATGATAAATTTGTTCGAAAAGAGAATTTAATAGAAGGTTGAATGAGGAAGAGATGAGGGGAGTGAGAAGGAAAAGAGCGAGGACTAAGAGGAGAATATTATATGAATATTATATGAATATTACATTAATTATGAGTATTCAATGCGCGTTTTATATATGTAATACTTTTATTTTTTATTTTACGTTAAATTTATTTTTTTAATTAAATGATACTTTTTTTCCTAAATGAATTAAATGAATCAATCTCTTTCATTTTCGTCATCGCTTTCGCTTTCACTTTCACTCTCGTTTTCACTACCATCACATCTTTTTTTCCAATCCCAAAATTTTTTCAAAATTTCTTGTTCTTTTTTATTCATCTTATATTTTTCAAAATAAATAAATAAATAAATAAAAATTTTTTTAAATTTTTTATAAAATATTTTATTTTTACATTTACATTTACCATTTCATATCCTTCGTCATCCTCATGATCATATCCAATTAAATGGCAAATTCCATGTGTATATAAAACGGGTAATCTCTTTTTAACATTTTCATCATGTTCTTTACACCATTTTATAATATATGGTAAAGATATTATCATATCTCCAAGATTTTTATGTTCAGATGTTAATGGAGTTGGTAATTTACCTGGTTTAATCGCCTATTATTAAAATAAAAAAAAAAATATATATATATATATTTTTAAAAAAAAAGTATTTTTTTTTTTTTCTTTTTTTTTTTACCTGATGAAATGGAAAACTTAATATATCAGTTACTTTATTAATATTTCTATAACGTAAATTTAATTCTTTAATTTCATCTCCTACAAAAAATACTCCTAAATCCCATCTTGAATATTCCGTGTAATTTAATATTTGTTTAATTTCTTTACGAATTATCCTTCTATTGGTTATTTCTTTTAATAATTGTTGTACTGTTGATTTAATTATTATTGTCATTTTTTTTGAAAAATCAGAATCCCTTCTTTTTTTTTTACAGAAAATTATCATTTTAAATAATTATAATTTCTCACGTGATATAATTAGAGCTAAAAAATTGTAGATTTTAATACATTTTTAATTGTACATATATAATTTCTCTTTACATTTAATATATCAAAATAATTATTATAATAAACCAAACGAAAAAAAAATTGTCCGATTTATACTTCTTATCTTTATTATCTTAAGATTCTTCCCTCCTCCAAAAAAATACCCATTATAATTATTCAATTTTTATTAAATCAATTAAATTTTCTTTTGGTTGTTTCATTTCATCGGGGAAAAATTCTAATAATTTTTCAAATAATTCAGTTCGTTCTTGAAAGGTGTCATGAGCTTCATCTAATAAAATATTAATAGGTAAATTAATTACATTTTATTTCTCTTTATCAGTGTGTAATTTAACTTACCTTTGTTTTTATTGAACAAACTTGCTGATAATCCACGAAACTCTAAACTTTCATCTTTATTTGAATGATCAACCACTTGAGAAAGTTGAATTTGAAGATATTTAAGTGCTTTAATTGAATCACTTTCGAAGCATATTTCTCGAAATCTTAAATAAAAGAACAATTTTTTATGAGAAAAAAAAACTGAATTATTGAATTATTTGAATTATTTCAAAATTTGTAAATTGGTTTACTTACTTTTGTTTTCTTATTAGGAATTTAATTCTTCTTAACAAATCCTCAGATTTCGGCCTGTTAAATCCAAATTTAATAAACCATATAAATCATAAATATTTATAAAATTTTAACCGAAAAAAAAAAAAATATTATTAATTACCTGATTAAATGTAATTCCCAAAAATCATCCAATCTTTGTTGTCTGGAAGTTTCTATTTCGACAGTTCTTCCTCCAAATAAATATTGAACTTTATTTACGTAGTCATAAACCATTTGATGTGCATGTCTTGGACGTGGTTCTGTTGTTTCATTACTTGCCCAATAACATTGATCAAAATTTTCACTTTGATATAATTTTGTCCATTTTCCCATACGTAGATCATAGGCCCAAAATGCATTCTTAACTGATGATGCCTTTTTCTCTTTTTTATCTTTAAGACCAGCAAGAATGAAAAATTCTTTTGTATCGATATCAAAAGTTGTTCTTTGAGTAAAAACTACTAGATCCTGATCATCTTGGGCTGCGTAATCAGCAGGTAATTCATATATCGAATCCGCGTTAATATCGTAAATATAAAAGTCACTATTGTGTATACATGTGTACAAAAAAAAAAAATTAATAGGATAAAATATCAAAAACAAATTCGATAAATCCTAGTTATTGCCTACCCTAAAGTCAATCATGAGGCAAACCTTAAAAATTTATTATCTCTATCTCCTCCTATTATATATAATAATCTTTCAGTTTGATCCAATAACATCGAATGGCCAATACGTGATTTGAAATAAATCGGATCTTTTTCGTCAGACCTATTATTAAAAAAAAAAAAATTATTATTGTTCTTATAATTGTTAAGTTATTAAATTCATAAATATTATATTTTACCTGATTAATTTCCATTTCTTTGACATAATATCATAACTATATAATCCGCTGTAATAAAACTGGTCTACATCTGGATGAACTGTTCTACCACCAAAAACATACATAATTTGTTTATCAGAGTCTATACACATTTGATGGTCATATATCAACCCTGGTCCACCTTCCAACTAAAATAATTAAAAAAAAAATTAATCTAAATTATCATTAAAAAAAATCCCAAGCGTTAATTCTTACCAATGTATTCTCTGAAAGTTGTTCCCACTCGTTATGTATTATATCGTACTGATAAAAATCGGAATTATAATTCGCATTTGCACGCATATCACGCCCAATGAATCGTCCCAGAACATAAATTCGCTTTGCACTAGGATCTAAACAAATTCTATGGTTTGACCTTGGATTTGGACCACCTTGCCTAAACATAATTCCCTCAATTAGAATTATTGTCAATCATGTAATAATATGTTACCTCTTAACTTACTCTCTGGTATCACAGCTAATTAGGTTCCAGATTCTTGCATTCACATCATAAACCCAAAAATCGGATAAATTTTTCGTCCCATTCCATCCTCCAAGTAAATATATATGTCCTGCCTATTTAAAGCATCATAAGTTATTTAAATTATTCGATGCTCAAAAATTATATTAGACAGTACACATACCTCAACATCAATACACATTTGATGCCCTCCTCTTATACAAGGTGAATCACCGTCTTTCATTCCACAATAAATAATCAACATGATAAACAAAAGTTATCGATATGTTGCGCTATGAAATAAAAAAAAAATGAAACGTACCGGCATTTGTCGCTTCAATTTTTGTCCACTGAAGTTTATATTCAAAACTCCGAATATATTCCTCAAATAACCCTTTTTCCGCAGCATCAGTCATACTATCTTCAGCCATCTGAAAGTCACCATTCACAACAAGCTGTGTATATAGCTCCGTTAAAAAAGGGTCTTCAATGAGTAAATTGGTTTTTGATTGAAGCAAATTAAAAACATCCAAATAATTTCGCTGACGAAAATGCTTTAGACAAAGACGTATTGCCTCATTTTCTCGATACTAAAATTCAAGTTTCGTGAATAAGTTACTTATACAAATTTACGTGATAAGTAAATGTGACAACTTACAGTGATATGATCATAGTAAGCTTTTTGAACAATTTCTTGATCTCGTATTCCCTTCAATTCAACGTACCATATGCTAAAATTGAAATTTGGTCCGTATGCAACAAGTGGAACAATCTTGATATATTGACATGGTAATAGCTATATGTAATAAATGAGATAAATCAATTGCCAAATAATTTAATTGGAAGATAAAAATAGTTTAAGGTCATACAAACCACATTATTTGCTCGGTATTTGAGTCGAAAGGTTTCAGGAAACTCATCATTCCGTAATCCTATAAACAAAAAAAATATATATATACATTTCAAACTATTTTGTTTTTTTCTAGAGTTTTAATATGACAAGTTACAATTTATTTTTAAGAATTGAAAAAATATGAAAATTCTCCAACTACCGCTATTAAGTAATTCATCCATTTTGTTCGGTGTTAACCCTCCGTAAACCTTGAACTTTTTGAGGTTACATATGTGTTCTGTGTAACAAATAACACGCAAAAAGATAGTAAGCTTTTTAAATGAATATATGCGATTGAATCAAGTATGAACTCACCTTTATAAAATTTTCCAAACGTTATGCTATCTGACATTTACATAATTGGGTGAATTTTGGTTATGGGTAAATAATTGAATTTATAATCTTATTAATTCCTAATGAACAAAAAAAAGGATACGAACAATGCTCATTGTTTCGAGTTTAATGATAATATATTGCATCTCATTATTGCAATTACTTGACCACCTGGAAGACTGTTCCAAAGGTTTGTCTTCCAGAATATTGCGAGGATAATATGCAGAAGTATACGAAGAATAAGAATGAATCTCATATGACAATTTTTCTAAAGAAAGATCAAGCTCTAATAATTGATTTCGTTTCTTGGCGGAAAGCATATTTTTTATTCAATAAATTGGGTTTTCAAAAATCTTGTCACAAAAAATAGAATATGATATGAAGGATCGTCAGATAGCAACCTATTTATATAAAAATTTGTTGTCTATCACATTTTCCGAATTATTCCGTCTATTTCTATCTGATACCTTGCATGCAATGTTAGTTTAAACAAGGAACAAACAATACGTAAAAACCACAATCAAAAACTTCATATTTATTTATTAAGTACTTTAACACTCTAAACGCGTCCACATTGGGATAATGATCGACTGACAATTTTTATTAATTAACAAATATTTGTAATACAGATTCTAGTAAATAAAAAGATGGGACCCCGTTTATATCCCTTCAAACAACTTGCAAGTGATTTTATGTTCTAATTGTTATTAAATTAACTTTTCCCACATAATGTCCAACGATCATCATTAGTATTAAATCAACATTTTGTTTGACAACACTCGAGTAAGTACTGGAGGTTAACATAGACATATAATTAAGACCTCGAAATAATGTTAATTTCCCTAACTATCATGCATTCATGTTCTCATACACCATCAACTATTTATATCTTATTTTATTTCCAAAGATCAGTCAAATACTATGAAATTTATTTAATATCACGTTCCTTCATACCGTGTTAATAATATTATTCTTAACGATGTTGAGTTACCAATCTAATCATTATTCAACAGAAAAAACAATTCTGTAACATTTTATAAAGGTATAATTGGTCGACTAATATTATAAGCGAGTAAGGGCTTTGAGAATTCAAAAAATGCCTACATGATGCAAATATAACATTGCACTTCTGTTAAATACTCAATAAATAATATTCTAAAGGATTTGCAATGGATACCTTTTGATCAATATATTTATGCTGCAATGTAAAATTTCTTTTGAACATAATACTTTTGATTTGAGCATATAACTTTTGATTGCAATCATTTTAATCCCACTGTGCAGCATGGGAAAAATCGTAGCCGGTTGGCGGAGGTGGCCTTAAGGAAGGTGGTAAATTTTTAGGCAATCCCGGTGGTAATTTATATTTGACATTTTGAACAGAAGGTTGACTCGGTCGATTCCAGACTTGTTGTATATTAAATCTATTAGTTTGTCGTTGAAGGAGATGCGGGTTATGCGCCAAGTAATCTATAACGAAAAAAATTATCAGAACAAAATTTCAAAATTTCAAAAAGTATTAAATGAATCTATTATTTACAGTGTGGATCAACGAATGTGAAATCGATTCCTTTTGGAACATGGGAGTATTTACAACTTAATCCGTATGGGCAATATCCATCATCTTTAAATTTTCTACAAGTAGGATTCTTACTATTTTCAATTAATAATTCAACAGGATCTATGAAAAAATGTTTTAGCTTTTTTTAATTCACAAAAAAAAGCATGATAAACTACTAATGAATTAATGAATCAAAAATATATTTACCTTTATATGAATCATAGTGAAGTTTTACATTATTTTGGTGTTGAACACCTTCGAGATGTTTTCTTCTGTTTTCAGCATTATCAGTCAAGGAACGATCGCAATAATCGCAATAATCTTTATAAAGATAATTAATTAGAAACTTCAAATTACAAAAAAAAAAAAAATCTTTACCACTTACACTTCTTCACCATTAATAATTAATGGTTTTAAGAAATCTCGCGCAACTATACAAAATTTATAATCGACGTAGTAGGTGACGTTTATATGCGAAGTCACGTGCGTTGAAGATTAACTAAAAAGTTTCGAGTAAACAGGATCCCATCATTTATTACAAATACAAAAAAAAAAAAATAATTTATCATCATCAAGCCATCCAGAATAAAAAGCGTATTCTTTCCGTCTTATTCTAAAATTTCATAAATTTTATAAACAACAGGCCGTTTTTTCTTTTATTTAACAGCATTGTTGTTAACCAACCGCTTCATGTTTTGTTCATCAATTGAAAACAGACATCAAAAGCAGCGTCAACACATTTTTAGAAAGCGTTTACAGAAAAATAAACGTAAGAAATTAATAATTCCAAAACAAAGATTTTCTCAAAATTACTAGGGTAGCATACTATATTATAACAATTAAATCGCTATTTTTTTTTGTACTCTCAACTAGCGTTATAAAATTAAAGTTTGCAATCATGGATACCCTTAATATCGGAGGAAATGAGAGGGATCGATTTTATCGATATAAAATGCCCAAACTTATTTCAAAGGTAAAGTAATTGGGTCTATTGCTTTATGTTAAGTTTCTATTAAATAATTTACTGGCTTTTTGATTGTTATATTTTTATACAAGACTGATAAATCGATCCTAATTTCTAATAATTTGTAGTAATTACAATTATTATTAATCAAATATATATATATATTTTTTTTTTTGATCTATAGATTGAAGGCAAAGGTAATGGAATCAAAACTGTTGTCCCTAATATGTCTGATATCGCTCGTTCCTTGAGTCGCCCTCCGACCTGTAAGTATTTATTAGCAACTAATTAATATTATTTTAATATTAACCTTGAATGTTTATTGTTTGTATAGATCCAACTAAATTTTTTGGGTGTGAACTTGGGGCTCAGGTTAAAACTGATGAAAAAACTGATCGTTACATCGTAAATGGTGCACACGATGCACCCAAACTCCAAGAATTGCTTGATGTCTTCATAAAAAAGTTTGTTCTTTGCGGTGGTTGTAGTAATCCCGAGACTGATTTGGTATGTTAATAATACCTTATTGTAATGTTTAATATAACTATTTGACCTATTTGACCTATTTGACTTAATATTCAATGTTAATAGATCATTACCGGTAAAAATGCACATCAGAAAATCATCCTTGATTGCAAAGCTTGCGGTCAAAGAACCGAAGTTGATATGCGTCACAAACTTGTTACCTATATTTTGAAACATCCACCCACCCCAATCAAAGGTAAAGGTAAGAAGGAAAAGAAAAGTAAAAAAAATGGAGATGAAGAAGCGGAATCTCCCACATCCCCAACTAGAGGTGATTCAGCAGAAGGATCTGAAGACGAGTTTACCAAACATATTGTTGCTGAAGCTTCCAAACTCCCTACTGCGGATCAAGTTGCAGACGACGATAATTGGGCCGTTGACACTTCTGAAGAAGCTGTCGCTGAACGCTTGAAAGACTTGTCTATCGACATGGAAGATGATCTTGAACCTCATGAATCACTTGACGTATGGATAAAAGAAAACCCAGGGGCTAAAAACAACGATGTTTACAAGAAAATTAAAGAACTTGGGATTTCGAAAGATACTGATCTAGTTCTGAAATATCTTATTATTAATCTCTTCCCTGAGGATCTTCAAAAAGTTGATATTGAAAAGCAAATTAACAAGAGAGTAAAGTTATTCCAAAAGGTAAATGTAATTTGATTTTATGAATAAAATTTTGTATTTAAACTGTATAACTCACTTTATATTCATGATTTAGTTTGTTACAAGTGCGGATGACCAGCTTGCTTTATTAGGAGCTACCGAAGAACTTCTTGCTCAACGTAAAGAGTTATTGGAAAGCAAGATTCTTGGTGCTATTTTAATGAATTACTATCAGAATGATTTACTTGAAGAGGAAGTCTTTCAAGCTTGGATTGGAGGCGCCGCCAATTCCTCCAAATATAAAGGTCTCTTTAAAAGAAATGTCTCCATGGCTAACGTCGATAAAGTAATTAATCAAGAAATTCGTGAAAAGGCTAAACCTTTCGCGAAATGGCTAGAAGAGGCAGAAGAAGATGACGAATGAAGGTCTCTTCAATAGACAACTACATTTAACAAAAATTCCCATTTCCATATTTTTTTTGAATTTCTCGTGATTTATTATTATGTTATTTTTTAAATATATTATTATTATTATCATTATTGTTACTTAATAAACTCATTTATTATATATAAGTGTCATGTGATGGACAAATTGTTTACGGTAGTATGTAAAATGTATTGTGGCGTATTGTGGCGATTAAAAATTTGCTGTGAATTATACAAAACTAAATTCGGTAAATAAGTAAGTGCACACATATGAAGATTTGTTTGTTAAAGGGGGTGTGAAAGAAATATTTAAGGTTTACGGTCAGATGAAGTAGTGAGTAACTAAATATAATAATGCATAAACATTTCATATATGCAATAAATTAATTTATTTTACTTGAGAGTTTGAAAACTTCAAGCTACGCGCCCAGATAATTCAATAATCACGCGAAAAAATAAGTTGATATGTAATATGTAATTGTACAGGTTAAATCACCTGAAATACGTTTGATTCAAAAAAAGAAAATTTATTTAATTATGATATTGAAAATCATGTGTCTTTCACAAGGAGATCAACTCGGTATTCAAATGACGGCATATGTGTAAACTCTCAACTCTCTCTCAAAAAATTTATTATAAATAATTCTAATTTTTTCATCTCTTTTTTTTTCTTTTTTTTTAAAAAAAAAACCTATTGATTTAATTAATTTCCGGTTCGAATTACTTCACAAATACTAGCTCACCCCTTTTTTTTAAAAAAAAATGTCTACAACAACTAAACCGACTAAAGCTAATGAAGATATGGGTATGTTAGGTGATAATGTTAAATGGATGGATTTAATTTTATGACCAACTAATCTATCTTTCTTTTTCAGAAACAATTAAATCTATCGGGAACCCATTTGAAAATCGAAAGAAAATGGAAGACAAAATTGTTGGCATGTTAGTTCCAAATAGGTCTTCAGAAGATCAATATAAGAATTCAGGACCTGGCAAAGGTTTAATACATTATTTGACGCATCCAAAAGAATTACGAGATGAACACCCTGTATGGCATTATTTCTACTTATGTGCCTTAATATTTGCAGCATTCGTTTCATTATTTATTGGACCTGTTATTTTTGGAATGTTGGCAGCAATTGGAGGTTTTGGAACTCCGTTTATTTTATCAATGATGGGAAGCGGAATTGGTTTATTATTGGGGTTGGTATTTGGCGTTATTTTCGCCGTAGTCTGTATTGTTGCTTTGGTTAGAGCTGTTGGTTTAGCTGCTGAGTGGGTTTTAGACACTCTTTGGTATGGTGGAAATGATTTATTGGAATTGACGAAAGAAAGAGTCTTGGCATTGATTAATGATTCAAATTGAAATTCTAAACAATATAGATATATATAGTCGTTATTTAAAAAAGTACTTATTTCATATGTATCTTTTATATTTTTTTACCACATTTGTGGCTGGATGAATTTTTTTATTGATATTTGTTAAAACGCATATGATTTATAATTTCTTTTTCTACATAAATAAAAAAAAAAAGGTTTTATCAATTGGAAATATTCTAAATATTCTGAGCTAAAGTTAATATTATTATCATGTGGTTTGTTCTACAAATGTTCAAATTAAATAAAATATATTAAATATATCGTAGATTTTAAGTTCTTATTAAAATCTAGATTAAATAATTACAATCTTATTAGTAAAATATATATACTCAGACCTGATATTCGATATATATTAAAAACTCAAAATAACGACATATTAGAGTTTGACTTTACTAATAGGAATTTTCAATAAGATTAATACACGAAATTAACTCTTTACTACTTGCTATCTTATTTGTTATAATTTTTTTTTTATTATAAATGCAACGTATTATCTGTATTATTTAATTATATTATTTAGTGGTTATATGTATATTAAATTTCTTTGCCCATAATTACTTCTGTACAAAATTATGTAATGCTGCCAAGAATTAATGCATATGACATTTAAAGAGGGTGAAAAATAGATTTTTTACAACAAAATAATTTTAAGTTCCTAGAATACATATGAAAAATGAAAAAGGAAGGATGTAACATGAATAATAAAAGAACAGTAGTAATATCTTGTGTGATAAATAATTATTTTTATATTAAAATATGCAATTAACAATATGAAAAAACTATTTAACTATAATTAAAAATTCTTAGATTATAAATAGATTAAATTTAAATTGCAATCCAGTTTATTAGATTGTAATTTATTAAATCTTTTTAAAAAAACAAAATTAACAATATTTGGATAGAATTTCATATTATGGAGTTGTATTAAAATTGATACTTTTTGCTTTTTAGTCTTTCAAATATTTATATATAAGTATATTACAAGTTTTTAAACCTTTTATTATAATAAAAAATTCATATATAATATTAACTGACTTCTTAAAATTTGCAAAATATTTAGAATATATAACCTGTTATACTTTTAAAGAAATCCAATTTAATAATTTTGATTATAGTATTTTTTTTTAAAAAAAATCAATTATAAAAAACAGTAAAAGTAATAAAATAAAATTAATATATATTATAAATTTTAAAGATTATATAATAAATTAAGATCTTAAATAATATTAAAAGAACTTAGATTTAATTTTATTTAAATCTTATAATTAATTTTGATTTCAAATATATAGAATTATATTAATTTTTTGGCTTTAAATTTTATTAATTTAAGAATCAATAATTTGATTTATAATTTTTAAAAACATTATATTAGATTTATCAGAATTTAAATATTGCAAAATAAGTCAAATATTTTAAATAAAGAAAAGTAAAAAAATATTCTTTTTACAATATTTTAGTCAATGTCAATACTAAAAACCTAAATTTACTATTATTGGATTTCTTTTATTAAAAGAATCTAATAATATATATTTTATTTTAAAATTTTTATTATATAAAATTTAAGTTATTTTAGTATTATTTGAAGTTCTAATAAGCATTATAATTAGAAAGAAAAAAACTATATCTAGTACTATTATAATTTTCCACATCTAAAGATTGTTAGAAAAAAAACAAGAATTTTATATAATAAAATTTAAAAATTAATAGAAGAATATTTAAAAAGAAAATTTTATAATGAAAATAAGAAATCAAATAAATATTAAAGGATAAATAAAAATATTTAATATAATATTTATATAAAAATTAAAAAGTTTGAAGAATTAATATAATTTAGTAATAGATAAATATTTTTATTCAAATTTTAAAATTAGTTGTATAGAAAGTTGTTGGACCTTTTGTTATTTTATTTTAATTTACATATATATATATATATATTTTATTTTATTTTAGATTTTATTTTTCTTTTTTGTATTTGTATTTCTTTTTTCAAGTATATTCTTTAGTATTTTTGTTTAAATGTAATCTTTATCAAATGTATTTGGCTACTACTACAGGATTCTGAATATCTAATATAGGTTATAAGGTCAAAATCACTTATTTTTTACTAAAACTCAAAAAATCATTTTTTTGCAAATATCTTGGCATCCAGTAGTCCAATTTTAATAAACTTTTTTAAAATTGTAAAGTTCAATAAAAGTTATAATACAAAAAAAAATTCATTAAAATTGGATCACTAAATGCTGAAAAAAATCCCAATTTTAAAAGATTAGAAGTACTTCAATAATAAGATTGGAAATTCAAAATTAATTTTAATCCTTACTGTTTAAGTAATAAATGCATTTTTGTCTATAAATATAAAATATTGAAAATTTTATTAAAATTTTATGAGAATTTGTTCATAGTATATAGGTTTTGATTTGTTAATTGGTCTTAGTGAAATCAAGTTTATGGTCGGTCTAAAATGATCTGATTTATCTTTAAGAAATACTTCGAAAAACATAATTACAATGAAATGAAATCTATTTACAAGAATTAATTTAAAAATGTAATTCTATTGTACAAAATATCTATGTATTAATTATTAAAATAACCTAGTAAGGGTGATATTGAAGTTATGATAATAAAATCAAGCAACATTTAAAATTGAACCCAATTTATAGATTTGTCATAAAAACATTCATTCTTGCACAACAGCAAGGGAAACCAGTCCCATATTAAGCAAATATTAGAAAAGAGGAACAAAATTTTGGCAAACTTATGTGGTCATATATTTACGCAAAGAAATAAAGATTACTAAAGAAGCAAGAAATAAAAAAAAACGAGATATAAATTAAAGAGTTTCGAAAACTCGAAAAGGAAACTTTTTACTTTATAACATTAGAGATCTCAAGTTTGGTGCTCTTCAGGTAAAATCGAAGATTCAAAATTCCATGTTGACTGCGCTTCCGTCAAAGCAACTTCAGATTCAGTAGCTGCTTCATTTGATGGTATATTAATAACTGTTAATCTTTCTTCGGGAAATTGTAATGAATGTGAACTGAATCCATTTCCAAGAAAATTTGGATCGAAACCACTGAAAATTTGTGAAGGAGTTAAAGAAGATAATGGATTTTGTTCCAAACTATCTGAAAACATTGAAGTCATTTCTTCCAAAGATAATGATTGTGGGAGTGTCAATGAAGGCATATTCATTTGTGAAGCATCAAATGGAATGTACAATGGTGTTGCAAGAGGTGTATACATAGATGGGTATACACTAGGTGCTAAGATAAGATCGGAAAATATTGGAGTAGCAATCATTGGAGGAGGAGTAGTAATCATTGGAGGAGAAGGGTAATAAGCTTGGCCTCTTGATGATGCCGATGCATAAGGTGAACTTGATTCTTTCTTAGAAGGAGATTTGTTTTTTTTCGGTTTTTTAGGATTGTGGCTTGAATAAGGAACAAATCTCTTATATCTAAAACTTTCTTTTAATTTTGTTTCTAGTTCGCCACATGCATCTACAACTTCTGGAGCTGCAAAAGACCATGCATCACTAGCAATTTTGGAGACTTCGCCCAAGACTAAATAATCTTGTTTTTGTTTTGATTTTTGCAAATAAGTGCGAAAAATCATAAAACTATTAATCCATTTCTTTTTTGAGGGTTCGCTATAATAAGAATAGTCTTTGGAAATTTCCTCTTTTGTTGGAAGAGGGAAACGGTGTTGACCATGGTCAGGGTGATCTATAAAGACAAATTTCCTATCGCTTTCTAGCTCAAGAATTGAAAAGTAATGCGGTCGAAATGGTGGATCCATTATCATCTATTACTACAGAGGAGGAATTTTTTTTTTAATCTCACTATATATAGATAAATGTGGATATTAGGCTTAATTTTTTTTAAAATGCAAAAAAAGTAAAATTTGATTGGACGAGACTTTTTTTCAGATCAAAAAAAGGTTTTGCAATTACTAATTCTCACGTTTTTTTTTGAATTTAGGTTGGGTATTCTCTGATTAAAAAATTTGAATATTTTTTAATTTTCTTATGCCCATATTTTAAGATACCAATTTATCGTATCGTTCTTTTTTATTATAAATTTAAGGATCGCAACGAAACAAATACTCAAGGAACGGAAAATTTCGTTTTTTCAAAATGAATGAAACAAATAAGAAAGTACTAATCAGCCAAATCAATATCTTTCGTTTATATTTATACATAAACTAAAAATTCATTGTTACACATTGAGTAACTTCATTAGAATGTCTAAACTTGGGTAAACTTGCGCCGATATTCCTTTATACAAAATTTCATTTCAATCCTGTTAAAGAAATGAGTCAAAGATGTCAAAGATAAATAGAATTCTAATGTAACAATAAAAAAAACAAACGTTATTTGGATATCGTAATATTACATCAAAGAATTATTAATGGCCCAATGAATATCTTTTACTTTTTGGTAGATTGCTTCCGACTTTCGTTGCGAAATTTGTACACTTTTTAAATTTTTTCTTGCACGAATGGCAACACTCAGACTCCAAAGAGTGATATAATAAGAGTCATACGAAAATTCTTTTAAAAACTTATGCTATGGAATATTTATTCCGAATTAACACCAATAAAATTAAAAAATTGCGTGATAATAATTTTTATAAACAAACTTGAAAGTAATCTTTTAAGTAAATTTGAAATAAAAGTTTCGGGAGAGGAAAATATTTTTTAAAAAAATGCAAAAGTTCATATATATATATGTTGAAATGAATTAATAATTCATTTGTTTACTGGTAACGGGTGCACCATAATTTATATTTCTCCTCTCAGGTGTCTCAGTTTGATACTCGTGCGCAAAGTATTATAATTCTTTGAAAGCCAAATTGGATATATAGAGATATCATTTACATTTCTTGCATGTGTGATACGATAATCGAATTAATCGATGTCATTATAAAAGTTTAAAACATTGTGCAAAGTAATTCATAATTCACGAGTTTATATCACGTGGCAATTGCATCACATTGTATCGTAGTTATGTACTACGTACAATAAGCCAAATGATTGTTTATCGGAAATAACGGAAATAACGAAAACTTTCTTTTCACGTTATACTTTTTCTTTAACGTTTTCTTTTTTTTCTTTTTATGTTAAATAAAAGCTATTTTAATATAAATAAATATGTCGGGCTTAGATAAATTACAAAACTGTTTGCAGGAACTCGGGAATTGTCGCCAAAATATAGTGCAGAAGTCTAGTTTTGGCGAGGCCGTTGGTGAGGCTCTTAGATATAGCCAAGATATTGATCATATAGTTTCTAATGAAATTGAGAATCAAGAGCTCGGTACTTTTTTAAATTTGATCTTTTTTTAATTGGTATTTTTAATTAAAGTGTATAATTAACTGCGCCAAATATTAAATCATGTGACCTTTATAATTAAAAAAGGTCTTGCAACACAATTGTTATTTGATCCTCAAATTGGAATCATTAAATTTTTAAATGATACTTCACGAGTTACTGATCCAGTATTAGCGAAGGCAAAAATTGCGCTTTTAGAATTTCTTTTTCTTTATATCCGAAAGATCAAATCTGATATTGAACCATATGCAGAGAGCATCAAGGTTTATATTTTATATGTGATTGTTAAAATTTTGATATATAACTGATTGTTATATTCAATTGGTAGAATGTTCACTTTGGAATTCTTAACGTTGATGACGAGGCCTTCGTGAAAGCTGCATCTTTTAAGCCAATGATGGCGATGCTTGATTCAAGCAAAAGATTTATTGATCCCGAGAAATTGAATGTTAAAGATATCATTTCACGGTAACTTTAATCGTTGTTACATTTATTTATTAAGTACGATAGTATGATTTATTTGAATATGATTATACCTATGCAGATATCTTGAGATTTTCTTCGTGAGAACAAAGGGTACATCTGGAGTAAAAGGTGTTATATTTCAATATTTTAATAATGTTTCAAGATTCATATATATGTTTTTTTAACTTTGAGATATTTTATTATCAGCCAAAGCGGGAGCTTTAGATATGTTGGGAATACTTGCTCATCGATTTCCAGAATATGTCGATTTTGAAAAAAATAAAATTCTTCGCGTTTTTTTAGCCAACCTTAAAGAAAAATCCTTAACAGATGCAGCATTCACAGGATTGTACTCATTTTTATTTGCTTACCCGGATTCGATTAAAAAAGACAATCAGTATGTTTTTAAATGTATCATGAACAGTATTACAATGGTAGAAAACGGTAGGATGTATAGTATAGTTAAAAGTTAGTATCGTTCAGATTTCGTGGGTTTATCATTTGTATTTTCTCAATTCATTCGATTAATCATAATTATCTTATTATTGCATCAGCTGGACTCCAGTACATAATAGATCATTCAAATATATTTGGTGAATTTTATTTACTTGAGTATAAAGAAATATGGCAATGTCTTTGGAAATTACGCGTCCATCAAAATTCAGAAGTTAAGAACGCGGCATTTAAGGCTATTTGGGCTTTTTTGAAACAGGTTACGTTATTGTAAAAGTTTAATCATAACATTTGATAACAATTTAACAATTTATTCAAACAATAACGCGTTAATTTCTTTATTAGATTGCAAAAGTATTAAATTCTGCCACAGAATTCAAAGAATTCAATTGTGTTGATGTAGGTTTAATTTCATAAAATTTTCTTTTGTTCTTTTTTTAAAACAAAAAAACTTAAATCATTTTGATTATTTTTCTCAGTATTTTATGTTAACATTTGATAATATTGCGGGGGAAGTCAAAAAAACATCAGATCAGCGACTAAGTAAAGAGGAACAAGACCAAAAAACAAAAGATTTATCAATTGCAGTACGTGGTGTTGGTTATTTTGCCGCTTCCGTTAAAAAGTTGGATAAGGAAGAAAGATACAAGCCAATATTTCAAAATCTTCTTAACCCAAGTGATTGGGCTATCTCAAAGTATGCATTGTGTACTGATATTGCAAGTTTTTCATACAAACATTTATTTTATTAATATATTTTTTAGTTTAAATGAAGTTGAAATCACACACGCGCTATCGCAAATCCCATTGTTTATTGAAGCCTATTGTTTTATTGGACGAGAGTATGATGAAATCTTTCATCAATTAAGGGAGACAATTGAACATGAAGTGGGACTAATGATGATTTATTTCCCACGCATGGTTTATGACTTGAGGCTCCGTTGTGTTAACGCATTTGAACATTTATTGTGGGTGTTCTATCTAAAGGGCAGGGGGACTATACAAAAATTTGTTTCTAAATCATGTAACGAAAACTTAAATTTATATTTCTATTTCAAGCATGGAATCTTTTGTCTTATTATTATTTTTATCTAATAATGTGTTTATTTTTATTGCTTAGTTTATCAAATTTTAATTCTTACGTGTTCAGATGCTATCCAGCTTCAAAGTCGTTCTGACTTGCAAAATGCAAGTTCAGTTGGTATGATTGATGTTGTGGCGGAACATACATATCAGGAAATGTTCTTTTTCTGGGAGAATATATTTAAAGATTCAACTTTGTCGTGGATTATTGATCAAAGTGGCTTTCCGATTGAGAAAAATCAATTACACACCATTCAGTTGGAATTCTTTTCGATACTTTATGATGAATTTATGTCGTCAGTATTTCAATTGTTACGGACTTTAAATTTAACAGTTACGGAAGCTAGAGATGCTCAGCTTGGAACATCCATAATGAAGAATAATGATCATGAAATTGACGCCAATCTCATAGCTATAGCGGGTTCCGGTGATTTAGAAACTCTTCAACCGATAGTTTCTAAGGATTTCGTTCTTTTTCAAAACCTTGTGGATTTCTGGCAATTGTTTTTACCTCAAATAAAAAGTGATTTGTTTTCAAGATGGGTCTATCTTGCTAGTGACACGCTAATAACATTTTCCACCCAATATCCATATATTAGTGGATTCTACAAAATGTTAGGTTCGTGTTTGACAGTATGCGAATCTATCAAATTTTTTGACGGTATAAAGAATGTTGATAATGAGGTATTTGCAATTAAAAATTATTTCTAATTTGATTTGAACTATTAACTTAGATCATTAATAAAAACTAGAATATCACGATGCAAGGTTCTCGGGATCAATTATCAACGACCGCGTCACCAGATCAACGAGCGAGCTATTTTCTTTTCATTAAATTCTTTGAAGAAGTTTCTGCTAGACTTTCTCAATATAAGGATGATTTATTGGCATCATGTTTACGTCTTGTACTTTCCATTCCACGAGAACTTATTAATATACAAAACCTTATAACTCCAATATGTATTTCATTAAAAATGGGGCTAAGTTATCAAACTCTTGCAACTATTGGTATAAATGCAATTGAGAAACTAGTGGATTTGCAGGGACCTCAGGATATTAGTAAATGGCTTGAACAGATATTGCCTCTCTTTAATGAATATTTATTGGTTAAGGCTGATTCAGATGACAATCCTATTAAAGAATTCGCACATATTCGAAATTCGCAACGTAATAGGCGTGGAAACTTCAAATCACTTGATCAGACAAGGAAAGAGAGGGTCAAATCTAAAGGACAAAAAAAATCTTACAAAACTGTCGTTGGAGTATATATCAGTTTATAATATGTGTGTTAGGCTCGCCGTGATTTAATTATTGATTGATTTTTATTATTATACTATTATTAAGATTGGACAATTAGAAAAAAATGTAGGATTACACGATTTGCAAGTGCGCGTCCTTCGTTTGCTAGGAAGACTTGGCGGAGTTAGCAAGTTTGTGTTTGAAGACATTGTAAACAATGATATGGTATATCGGTCAAGTCCTGCAATGAATCCGGCAGGATCCAAGATATCAAATAATAAATTACTTGCTTGGGATCCTGAAAGACGCTTATCATTCAATATTCCATTTCCTGACACTAAAGTTGAAATTCTATTTGGTAAAATATTTTAAATTGAAAAAATATATATATACATACATATATTATATTAAATTGTTTCAATTTTTAGACGAATTCTTACCACGTATAGTGGAACTTGCAGAGTCTGCACCAGATCGTAAAACAAAAATCGTTGCTTGTGAATTATTGCATTCAATCGTTATAGTTATGATCGGAAAAAGTGCATTTCAATTATCGGGACATCAGCAGGTATCATCTAATTGTTGGAAAGAGAAGAGATATAAGTTAGATACTCATATTTATGAACGATTTTTTAGAGCCCATTTGTTCGCATATATCGTAAAATATTTCCTGCCCTTCTGCGGTTAGCAATTGATACTGATCCTGTACCACGAAAAATCTTTCGCCGACTTGTTGCTCAATTAATTCATTGGTATACAAATAATGCACAATATGAGAACCCAGAAACAATTGCGTTATTACAATGTTGTATTGACGCGATATGTAATCCTTGGGGTTCGCTGAGAGATTACGGTGCAGAATGTCTGAGTGAATTTTTAATATGGTCGATTAAACGATCGTCAGCGGTATTATAACATTTCTATCGAATTTCTGATATCGTTATATTAGATTTAAACTAATTTTTATTTTAAATAAAGCAGGTAGAAGCAAGTTCAATGAATATGAAATCGTTACTAAAGCGATTGTATAGTTTGTGTGCTCATCCTGATTATATAAAGCGTCTTGGAGCTTCTCTTGCTATTAATAAAATTTATCGAATATTTCGTGAAGAAGAATATCTAGTTGACCAGTTTACATTTGAACTTCTGTATTGGATGCTAGTCAATCTAAGACTTTCCGATAATGATCAGTCTGCGACGGGTAAGATTCTATTAAATTTTATTAAGTGATGTATAAAATAAATATAAATTTACATTAATTCTTTAGGGACGCGTCAACAGGCAATCTCAGCAATTCGCCATCTAAAAAAAATAATTATTGTAAAATCAAATTTATTTTTAAGTGAGACCTCCATGAGAAGGAAATTTACTAATCTTGACAGACCTAACTTATCATCTTTGGTTGAGTGGTTATTTATTGAGACAGGCAGAAAAGAACAAGATTACTCAAGTATTTGTCGCGAATTATTCGGTGAACTTGTGAAATTACTTCCAGGTAATATTTTAAAATATAATATGTTTATATGTTTATTTATTAATTATTTATTCTAACGGTATTTTACTTCTTATTTAAGACTTTAAGACAGGCTTTAGATGGGTTAAAGCTAGACTTGATAGAAATTCAACGTTTTTAGAAAATCTTTATAAAACTTCAGAACTTGATCCTTCGAATTTGTTACATAAAAGCTTAGCTGCCCAACAGACAAAAGATTGGTGTTCGCAACTTTTATCCGTTTTAGCTAATTATAAATGGCTTACGAAAGAGAAGTTCGTGTTACCTTTGGATTTAATCACAAGCTCTGATACTATGTTAAGTAAAGCAATCATCTATTTCTTGGAAAATTTAGTACAAAATGACGTTGAGCGCTTTGTTCCTGATGCTATGGATATTGATGAAGAGGAACACCTTATGGGATCTGAAAATGTTTTAACTCCCGCAGAGAGATTGCAATGGTTAACACGAAAAATTCAAATTATCGAACACTTAATAGGATTTATTATTGTACTATTCAAAGAGACAGATCCAAACAATCTAGCACCTTTGTGGAATTCCAATATTATTGGAAAGAGATTTTACAAATTATTAGGAAATTGTTTGCTGCATCCTAATGTTATCGGATTGGACCAATTTCCAGATAACATAATCAAACAAAAGTTGATTAAACACGTGGAAACCTTATTTACTTTGTTTAAGGAGTTGTCTATTAATAATGAAACTCAATTGAAACAATTAGCGCAAGAGCTCGCAGAGATTGCATTTTCTGATGAAGTCGATTTATTAAATATTGAATTAGATAAATCAGGTACTTAACATGTTGTGTCTAATTATTTATTTCTCAAGAATTTAACGTTACAATAATTCATTGTAGATCCTACATATTATATCCAAATTACTCATGGATATTTGGTTCTCAGCTCGTCTGGGCTTTTTCCAGATTTATTAGAGCACGAAATGACTTCATATATGAATACTAGTTCAAAATTATATGATTATATTTTAGCCATCTGGAAGAAATTTAATAACCTTCGTGACGTTTTAGATCCACTATGGGTTGAACTTATTAGACAGTTATTATCATTTGCTCTTTCGCTTAGTAAATATAATGGTGCAATTAACCAATGGCTTCTTAGTGATATAGTCGTACGTAATATACCTGTCTTTGTTGTTTATGCTATATACTTAACGTTCACAATTCTTTTTATATTATTGAAACTGTTGTTTTAGGGCTTCCCCGGCAATAACTCGAATTTCTATCATCAAAATGGAACTATTTATTACCAGAAATTTTCTTCAGTCGTATGTCATCATTATTTCATTTATTTTGTAATTCATCTTATCTTAAAACTAATCAAAAGTTATTAATTATTAGATCAATGAACATATTTCACGTAACTTTAGAGAATTTGCTAAGATTTTCTACGAGAATATAAGTGATTTCACTAGGGATCAAATGAATATTGATATAGTTAGGGATATAATATTAAATCTAATTGATTATTTGACCTCTAAGAAAGACACCCAACAGAGCTTGGTATTTTTGGATCATGTGAGTGCAAAAATGTCCTTAAAGAATTTTTTATTTTTATTTTAATGGTTAACTATTTATACCCTTAATTAATTATAGTTGATTTCGGAGTTCTATTTCCTTAAAAGTTTGTAAGTATATATTGCAAAGTCATTTTTTTAATATTTATAATCAATTTAACTCTCTTATTACATTTAGCGTGAAAATGTGTACTTATGATCAACATTATTTATTGAAATTATGGAATGGATTATTTATGCTGGAGCCGAACTTACTAAGACGATTTTCGTTGAGAGAATTCCAAAATCTATTTCGTGAAGATTATGAAGCATTCCTTGATAGACATGTAGAACTTGAGTTCAAGAATGAAGCTTTGGATCTTCTACCTTTTTACTTCAAATCAGATCTGCCAAAAGAAAAGGTGAAATCATAAGGTTAAAATAATTTCTTGTAATCTAAGAATAAATTATAATTTGTTATTGATTTTTTTAGATTGAAAGTTTTATTGAATTCATTCTTTATCAACAATTACCTACTGATTCTAAGGATTATTCGAAATTTGGAACTAAAAAGTATTTTATCGTATTTATTACAAATTTTTATTTAACATTTACATTTACTTATGGCTATTGCTAATTTATATATAGACTAAATGAATATTTATCAGTTCTTGATAAAATGCTTAAAGCGATGGTGAGATCCAGAAATGTGAGCTTATTTAAAATCTTGATTCCCACTTTCTGTCGCGAGAGTGACCACGTATACGGAGAGGAATTTCAGCGACAAGCTAGCGAATTTATATCAAAACTTTCTCGTTCTAAATATGTCGATACAATGGATATTGCTTACGGGTAATTGTATTTTTTATAATTTTTTAACCTTTTTTTTTGGATTTAAATCAGTTCTTAATTTGTTATTAATTTATTTTATACATACAGATATTTTACAAATCCAACATACATTAGCTTTCAACGAAACATTATTGAAATGATTTTGTCACCACCTTTGCTGCAAGGTCCGAAGATATTTGTATTAGATTTTTTCAAAAAGCATATTAATGAAATTATTGACCTTCTTGAACGTGACAAATACTCGAGAAATGTTGATGAAAAAATTTATTGTCTTAACGAAAAGGCAGGATCACTGACTCTTTTGCAAATATCCTTTTTTTAATTATTAATGGTTTTAGGCATGTTATTAGCTTTAAATCTTTAAATCTTTAACAAAATTTACATTCTTTATCTTCGTGCTTCCGTGGAAGACGTATATTCCGAAAAAGGCGAAATTGTTAAAGCTTATTGTCAAACAAGACCATTGAAAGCAAAGGAATTGACACGAAAAGTGATGGAAAAAGCACATAAGATTAAATCACGTGCTGATAAAGTATGAATTTAACATAAGTAAAATTCTAAAATTTTTAAATTTAAAAAAATTAATGATCTTAATTTATTAGGACGACAATGGTAATAAATTATTGTCTGAAGCTAATTTACATTACCGTTGCGAGGCATATAATGCTTTGGCAGCTGTAATTTTGTGTACCCAAGACAATCCAGTGTTCTATAAAGCATTTTTATTTGCCGAAAATATTTCAAAAGGCGAATTATTATGGGAAAACATTATTGATTTAGAGGTATTTTAAAATTTCTCGTATCTTATTACATACTTAAAACTAACTTATAATAAATATTTAGACGACTTATAAAATAAAAGTTGAATTGAATCAGCCGTTTTTTAGATCAAAAGTCGATGATCTTAAATCAAGATCTGGAAGAACCTTCAAGGAAGCAAAACTGTGCGATATCTAAAATAATCGAATTATATTTGTTTTTAAATATTCTCATACTCATTGAACCTAATTTACTATATAGATCAAGTAGTTTGAAATATATTGCGTCGCAGTATTTGGCAGATTCAAGTGTAACCCAAGTTGAGTTCGTATATGAGTGCTTTTTGAACCCTTTTATAATAGATAACTGATCAAATGAAAAATCTTCGTTAAATAGGGAGGTGCTCTCTTTAAAGAATTCCCTGATGAATCTGAAGATAATGTTAGTGAATCCGACTCGGATCCAATCCCAATGGAGATTGACGAACAAGTTGAAAATAAATTAGAGTAAATTCTAATTATTAATTATTAATTTTTGTCTCTTGAGTTACTTATCTTTATCTTTCAATTTTTATTAGGCTTGAATTGGAGATTGACGAGTTTAATCGCCATCCTTGTATGAAAATTCTTATTAAAGTTATAGATCGACTCCATAATCAATTAACAATACCGGCAGATCCGGTTGAGTCAATGCCTGGCTGGATGAATGATATGTATAAAAAATTTACAAATACAGGAAATGAAAATAAAGGTAAATTATTATTGGTTAAATAATTTCAAGTTTGAACTCTGCTAAATTGTTTTTTATTCATGTAGAAAATGATACGCATATCAATATACGGTTATTTATCGCTAAAATTATAATTAATATTCCAGAAGCATTTGAAAAATATGCTTCTTCATGGATTCGTCCTGTTATAAAATTGATAACTGAAGGAATCTCATATGGCGAAGGAATTAACTATTTTATTCAGGTAATTGCGATTTGAGCTTAAATTTTTATAATTGTTATTTATCCTATTTTATTATTTGTATTTAGGACCTTTGCGCGATTGTTACTGTCTGGGGTTCTTTCGTTAAGTTAGAATCTCATCAAGATAAAGTTCTATTATACGAATTGATGGTATTAATCTTAGTTTACTTTTAAACCATTTTTTTTCCATTGTAATTTTAAAATTTTACCTTATAAAATTTCCAGGAGTTTTTGATGAAAAATTCTTATAATGAATCACGCGTTGTCATTAGGAATAATATTATAATCATTAAAGCAATATTCGAAATTTGGAGTGAATTGATTGTTGTACCTACGGTAAAATTTCTAGCATATTTAATATTCCAATAATATTAATGATCGTTTTTAACGTTAAAAAATATTGTCAATTTCAGCGCGTCATTCATGAATTAATTAGCGATTCCACAGGGAATGTTGACAAAGTTTATACGGGATTACAATTACTAGGAATAGTCTTAGCTCATGACAAGCCCTTGTTTCAAGACGAAGTTGGACTTGATTTGGGCGGTTTAACGTCTGATAAATTCTATATGGATTTAACAAATAATTTATTGAACCATGTTAATTCAAATGTTCGGGCGTTAGCTGCTGAGGTTTGGAAAAAAAATTAATTTTTCATATCATAAAGAATTTTGTTCTCTTGTTTTATTTAACTTATCATTATGTAGGTTTGTGGTTTGGCCGTAAAACATTTAAGGAAATATCATTGTTCAGAAGGCTTATCGTCTTTATTAAATCCGATGTTGCAAAAAGTAATTTTATTTCAATAATTTCTAATATTTTTAAGTTTTTTAATTATAAATTAATAGTTTGATTTATGAATAGATATCCGGAATGTATAAACAATCATTATCTAATGAATCTGACATGAAAAACTTCCTTACTGTTATTCATCATATCTCAATGCACGATGTTGACGTAGCTATTAGATTTCTAAAATATGTCTTCGGCATTCTACCAAGATTACTAAACAATAAGATATTAGCTTTAGAAATAATTTCATTTTGCGCAGGACATGATCCAGATTTGCTTACGAATTTGCAAAGGGATCGACTTCTTGGCTTTTTAAAACACAGGTAATTGTACTTTCCCATATTAATTCATATTAGCTGAGCTTAATTTTTTAAACTTTTACAAATTATTCCAAAAGAGATGAAAACGAACAGTTGCTTGCCTTAAGAATATTAGCTGGTGTACTTCAGGAGATTGATGCATCGACATTTGAATATTATTTGGAAAGTTTGGTCGAAAGCTTTCAAGATCATCCTAATAATGATTGCAGAGTATCCTTGATGTTTATTAAAAGGATTATGAATTTATTTAATAATTTCTAACGGATCCTTAACTTGCGAAAATGTGCATTTAGAAATCTTATTACACGATTTTGGTCAAAATGTATAATAAGATTAATGAAAATGATGAAATAAAACACAAATTGAAAATAAATCTTTTACGAGGGTTAATGGATACAGATGAATCGATTCAGCAAGCATTAATTGAATTTTGGCACGCACAGGAAGAACTTTCATATGATACATTTACAAAGCTAAGAGAGCTTATTGGGTTTGTATTATACGCTCTTGTAAAATTTTTTTTTAAAAAAAAAGGAAAGAAAAGAAAAAACGTTTACTCCTAATGCTAATATAATCTTTAATGAAACTAGAAATCTTTATTATACCGAGGCTGAGAATTTATTTCTTAATTATGCCTGTTACCTATTACTTGAAGGATCCAAGAAAAGTATTGATTATAATAAGCATATATTTGATCAACCATTGCCGCAATCTAGATTTGATGAGAATTATGATGACATTGACACTTCATGGAGAGTAAATAATACTATGACTCCTTTATTCGTGAATACACAAACAAGCAAACCAAAGGTAAAAGGAAAAAAAAAAGTGATTGTTTTTTTCAATAATTTAACAAAATTATTTGCTCATTATTTACAGGGAAATTTTAAAAGGCAGGAGGGTTTAGTTCGAGCAACGAATAAAGATTTGGCGTTTAGTTTGACCCTTGATCCAGGCAAGAATCATTTGCATGGTTTCTTAATAATCTTTTTTATATAGGATATATTATTCATTTAACTAAACAGGAAATACAGGACTCGGTTCTCAAGTTGCTGGCTATTCTTTGACACAGTCAAATTTGTTATTTTCACAACCGTTTACCCAAAGTTCTAAAAGTGATCAAACAGATCAAGACGGTACACAAAGGTAATTATTCGTTCTGAACTATTAAGTATAATTCACGGTCAAAATTACCTAAATTTTTTCTATATAGATCAGCACGAAGTTCAGAATATCAAAGATTTGGTCGACGATCCCTCAAAACGTATTCTCAACTTGATTTTAAACAAATTATGGCATCGCAAAAAAAGCAAGATGAAATATACAGAACTAGTCAAAACATATATCCGGAAAATATTTCAATGTTACGTCAATATCGAGTTGGTAAGTCAAGCCGGGATAAATTTTATTTGAAAACTCACTTTTCATTATTTATCCCATTATTATTTGTTGTGATTAATACCAAATTTTAATAGGAGAACTCCCTGATATTGAAATTAATCATGGAGATCTAATTAATCCATTGCAAACATTGGCACAACGAGATTTAGACATATCTCGAATTTTATTCACATCCTTGTTTGTTTCAATATATAATCAACTTGACAATAAAATACAGGTAAAATATCAGCTGGCTACTCAATTGAATGTTTACTATTTTTTGAATATATTACAAAATAATATGTATTTATTGTAGTCAGAAGAGATAAATGAATACAAAAAAGCTATGGGTCAGCATATTCAGAACATATTTAGCAAAACCACAATGAATTTCCCTCCATTTATTGGAAGTTGTTTAAGAATATGCTATGAAATCAATGATATTGAAATTGATCCCAATATGATTCGTAAAGCATGTAATTTAAGTTCAACGGAATCATTGGGAATTATTTTGATAGAACGGCAATTATTACACACTTCTTCAGAAAGAGGTAAATTAGTTTTTTTTTTGTTTCCTTTCATTAGAATAATAATAGACGACAAAAAATTTATTTCTATTTCTGATTTAGAATCAAAAAGGCTACGTACTACAAATTCCAGCCTTGTCGCTTCAAGCAAAAAGCCTTGGATTGAATTGAGTCATTTATATAAATCTATTGATGGTCATGATGTTTACAAAAGTATTTATGAAAGCAAAATAGTTGTCAGTGAACTTACAAAAGGTAAGTAATCATAGTAGAATTGTTAATATAGCATGCGATAATATAATAAATTTGGTTTGATTTATAGATGCCCTTAATGCTGAGCTTTTAGGAGATTATGCATTAGCATGCAAATATTATTTGGAAGCGTTAAAAAGTGAAACTGATGTTGATGATATTGAGGTTTGTTTATTGTAATATTATAAATATTATTTTAATAGAATTTTAATATTTAATAACCTAAATTTATAGGTTGCTTTGTGGGAAGAAAGACGGTTTGATTGCTTTGAAAAGTTATGTCAATGGGATGACTTAGCAGAGACTGTTCTTGTTGATATTGAAGGTCAATTAAGTAACTTATGGGAAGATGAATTACAGGTTTGGAGAAATTCTTATATTTAATATTGAATATTATATTTATTATTTAATTAATTAAAAATTGATGTAAAATTTTCAGGATATATATTTACAACATTTCATCCATAGCTTCTTTAAATTATCACTCAGTGATGACAATAGTGAACATCGTCAGCTCTTTTTTGATTTTATTAATAGTGCTATAAGTAATCAATATCAAAAATCTTTGTTGACTACGCAATATCCAATCGGTATGTAATAATGTTCGTCGAAAATAATAACTTGTGACACAAATCTCAAAATATAATTTTGTTTTAGAACTTGCATTGAGTTCAGTAACGAAGAAGGATTTAGAACAAGCCCGATTATATGTTCGAAAAGCACTTGATAATTTCTTATTCACATGGTCCACTTTACATCCATTGGCAATTGGTACTCGATTGGGTAAACTAAGTTCTTTGCAGCAGGTAAATTTTGCTATAATTTGTATGATTATTTGATTATTAATGATTTCTAGAAATAGTATTATCCTAATTTTTTTAGATAGTAGAAATAGAGGAATTTCTGAATCTTATCCAGTCTTCTGAAAAGGATCAAATTTGGAACAAATTAATCTCACGTTGGGAAAGGAGGTAAAATAATAATTTTAACATTAAATTTTACTTGCTAGTTTTTTCATGATTTTTCGATTTTAGATTTCCTTCAAAAACTCTTGATTCTTCCAATACATGGGATGATATTGTGATAACTCGTCAATCTATCCTTAATGAAATGTCCGAAAGAATAAAAGTAAATCATGTAAGTTACAAATTGTTATTTTAATTGTTTTATCTCTTATATCAATGGTTATTTATAATTTTTTTTTATTAGTTTAATAGAAGGAAAGTTTCATTGGAAAGTCAAAGTTTGTTGAAAATGTCATCAGCTGCACGAATACAAAGAAATTTTGAAGTTGCTCGAGTTTGTTTAAGTAAAATAAGAAATTTGAAACTCATCGATGATAAGAGATTGTCTTATTATCAATTTAAACTGAATCTTCGTGAAGCTCAAAACACAATTGATACTGAAAGGAAGGCAGAAATATTACTAGCATTATCAGAAGAATTTAAAAAAATAAAGGTATAGATATAACATTTGATTTTATATACTTATTAGATAATTAAAATACTATTTTTTTCAAGTCTCCTGATCTTAGGGATGATATAAAGATGAGAATAGTAGAAAGTGAAACATATGGACTCCTAATTTCTGAATTAGATAAGAGGGTACCTAATAGAAGCTTGTCCAAAATCAAAAATAACAAAAATTATTTTATTGAGCAAGGATATAATCTTTTTAATAATGCATCGAAGGAAACAACTTTACAGTTAAAGGTAAAAACACAATAACTTTAATACTATTAAATTTTTTCATATTTCTAATACATTCAATACCTTTTTATGTTAAATAGCCAACAATGCATGCTAAAGTCCTTGTCAAGTTTGCTAAATTCTGCGATTATTTTTTACGTAAACTTGATTCTACAGAGGAACAAATGGTAATTATAATGAAATATTATTTTCAACTATGTTAAAGATGTTTTTACACAGATTCTTCGCCATCTAAAAATTATTTTCATCTGTTCTATAGCAAATTGTATTTGATCCTGCGCAGTATGCTTCTAATGTAGTAGAGAGCATATTGCAAGCAATGGAAAATGGTTCGAAAGAAGCAACTGAATTATTTCCAAGATTGCTTCAAATTATTGAAAAATATCATAATACACAATCAATATTTAAAGAGAAGGTAAATTTCCTTATATCTTATCTTATCTTATTTATTATAGTATTCATAAAATTCTCTTAGGTGGAATCTGTTGAGTCTGTATGGAAATTTATTCGATGGATTCCTCAAATTGTTGCGACCTTAGATCAATCTATAGCTCATTGTGTTTTCCCAATATTATTTAAGGTATTTGTAAATAAGTATATTTTAAGATTGCTCCGATTTTAATTTATTTACTATAATTTAAACAATAGCTTGCAGAAGAATTTCCTAGGAGCTTGTATTATCCGCTTACTATTAGTAGCGAATATTATAAATTCGATGAAAGTACTCTTTTAGTCCGAGAAAATAAATCAAAAGTTCAGGAACTAAAACAAATGATCAAATGTGATGTTACTGATATATTTGTAACTGAGCTCCGTAGACTTACAGATTCTGAGATACATTTTTGTAATTGGGCCAATTCGGTTTATGTATGTATAAGTTATATGAATTGTATAAATATTGATTTTGACCAATTCTTCGAATATCTAGATGTTGATTAAGGCGAACAGTACAGGTGACAAAGCAGAAGAAATAAAGACCTCTTTTCAAAAAATGAGCTCATTTTTGCTAAAACCTAATCCTCATCATGGAATTTTTGATATCCTTTAATTATTTTGTTATTGTTACGACTATTATTATACCATATATTAATTCCTTAACATATCTTACCTAAAGAATTTGCTAATCGGCATTCTGAATATTTGTTTAATATTTGCGGTAAGATCTAATTTTAAATTCTTAAACAAGTGTATATAGGTAATTGATATGTTATAAATTTTATAGGAAGTGAAGGTTCAATATTAGCAAGAATGTCGCCAAGTGATTTTAAATCAAAAATATGGGATTATTATATAAAAAATATTAAACGTCAAGACAGAAGGGCACAAGAGGGTGCTAATTTATTGAAATCTTATTCTTCTTGGCTTGCTGAGTATTCTTTCTCAAATGTTGGAAAGGTATTAATATCGCAGAATTTTTATAACTTTATGTTTTCTAGTAATTGATTGCGCACAATTTTAAATGTCTATATATATTTTTACAGGAAATTGAAATTCCGGGACAATATGATGGATTATCATGTATTCCTGACCCAAGTAAACACGTCAAGATCTCGAGTTTTGATCCCAAGATTTTGGTTCTACGTTCATTACGCAAACCAAAACGAATTAGTATATTGGGTACAGATGGCAACGAATATCCATTCCTTGTGAAAGTAAGCTTATATTTATAATCACCGTTTTCTCGTTTTTTCTCTTATTATAGTTTTGATATTTAAAAAAATGAATTTTATTTAACATGATTTTTTTTTAAAAAAAAGGGGGGTGAAGATTTGAGATTAGATCAAAGAGTCCAACAATTATTTTCACTTATGAACGAAATAATGAAAAAGGATTCTTTCTGTTCCCAGCGTAATATAGCACAAAGAACTTACAAGGTTACGAGTTAACGTTACATATTTGTATTTATTTATTAAATGTTAAAAGGTCCCCTTATTTACTTATAGGTTGTTCCAATAACGGGTAGTCTTGGAATAATAGAATGGATCAATAATACAAAGCCCATGCGCTATTTTATTGAAAGGGAACTTGATGATTCTAGAGTATTTGATGATGCACAGTCAATGCATTCGCGTTGGGTTCAACAATACCAAAGTATGAAATTCATATTTAAGTGTATTGTGAATTTTATATTCAATAATACTTTAACTTTCAAAATTTCCCACTTTTTTATTTGAAATAGACTATCATAATATGTTTATGAAAGTAGACCGTGATGCTGTGGTTCGACATTTTAAAGACCTGCAGAGAGACATTAATAATGATTTGTTAAAAAGGGCACTATATAAGCTTGCTGCTTCCCCTGAAGCACATTTATCGATTCGATCCGAGTTTGTAAAGTGTCATGCAGCAATCAACATATGTGGATATCTTATTGGTATTGGAGATCGGCATTTAGAGAATTTCTTAATTGATATGACGAAGTAAGATTTCAATGATTCTTATATTATTACTACTCAAATAATTTAAATAACTTGATTTGATTCTATTTTTAGGGGATCATTGATATCTATTGATTTTGGTCATGCGTTTGGGTCAGCGACAGAAACATTAGAAGTTCCAGAATTAATACCCTTCAGACTCACCAGGCAGATAGAAACATTAATGGAACCTCTTGGGTCTAGAGGGCTTTTAGAGTACCCGATGATTAAAATATTGCAGAGTGGGTAATCCTAAAATGGAAATTTTTGTATAAACTTTGAATTTTCTAATAATGTTTATATAATGAAATTTTTCATTTACAGTAATGCAAGCAAACAAAGATATCTTATTAAATGCAATGGACATCTTTGTCAAAGAACCATTGTTGGATTGGCTAACTCGTGCAAACAATCAAAGTAGGTTATTTAAATAAATCATTTAATCATATTGATACTAAACTTTTCTTAAATTAGAAAATCGGAATAGTAATGAGATTGGTGAAGAGAATTTGCAAACCGTGGAATGGTATCCACGACAGAAATTAGATATTGCCCGACGCAAGCTTGAGCTCGAAAATCCAGCCTGTATCCTTTATATATATAATTTTTATACAATTAGTCTTTATTTCATCATATCCCATCCTTAACATTTTAATTTCCTATAGATATCACTTGTGACGAATTGAAAGCTGGCCATTCAAATAAACCTTGGTTTGTTCCGATTATTAATATTGCTAAAGGGGACCCAAATCATAATATCAGAACTAGGACATGCCAAAAGTGTTTTAGTGTTAAAGAGCAAGTTGAATGCTTGATTGATTTAGCTACAGATCCATATGTGTTAGGTTCTATGTGGGTTGGCTGGCAAAGTTGGGTATAAATACTTTATGTAGATAATTATAACCTATTAAAGCAAAATATTATTATGTGCACATATATATATATAGTAAATGAAAGATCGGTGTTCTTTGTTTGGGACAGTCTTCTCAATTGACTAATGTTCATAATATATTAGGTAAATAAATAAATAAATATATATATATATATATATAAGTCGAAACGTAAAAACAAAGTGATTCAGAATTTTCTATGGTATTTATAAGCAGAGTTAACTTAACATACAAAATGCTTTAAATAGAAATCTTAAGAAAATCGCAGTAAATCGCATTCCATAATTCCGGTTTTCGGAACGCTTTTTCTTTTATTACGTAGCATTATAGTAATAATTAGTCATGCGATTATTCGTTCCCACTCGTGATTCATTTTTTTATCTTCTAATTCTAAAAACAATAGATTAATATGCATTATGATATTAATATAAATATTTTTCCAAGAAATGTCAATGACGAAACCTCGGTTTTCTATGAAATAATGAATTTACATCTTGAATTTAAATTTCCATATTTATTTATTGAATGAAGCAAAAACTATAAATACAAGCCTTTTTTCAATTCTTTTTTTTTTATCGTTAATTAATTAATTTGAACTCAACATACATTCCTTCCGTTTATTAATAATAGCAATACCAAAATTTTCAAATGATATTTCATTTCTAAACAACTCTAAGTAAATAATTTTTCTTTGAAAATCTCATTCAAAATAATTTTGAATTGTGCATAACTTTAACAAGATGCATAATTTGTACTTTAATCTATCCTTAATATGTCCCTCGTTTATAAAATATGAACGTCAAGATGAATACGATTTTAGAGTATCTTAAACCATTAATAAACAATCACTTCAAATATCCTCCATCAACTTACGATAATAAAGATCATAAAGCTGATCTAATATTTTCAAATGGAATAATAATCACCATTAACATCCCGTCATTAAACAAAATGCAATCCTTATTAAATAGATACTCTATAAATGATGAGAAACCAAAGAAAATTGAAGGGGCATTTAATTTATACTTTGAGTTGATAAAAGATGAAGTTCTTAACCATTATCCCGAATTAGATATTGATTTGGCTTGTACTGCCGCTAAGACTTGGAGAGACGCTGATGTTCATTTTCGTGAAGAATTCGAAAAATTAGATTTTCAATTAGAATTAATATAGTATAAAAATAATCTAAAAAAAATGCTGCGCTGGTAATAACAAGAAAAAATTCACAGCAGAATTATGACGTTCATTATATAAAAACCTTTTCTTTATTGTATATATTATTACTATTATTTAAGAGAATTTTTAATTAGAATTTTAACAATAATGTTAATTGATATATTTATAGAAATTCATTATTCATTCATCGGCATTGAGCCATAGATATATATAGATATATAGAATATAATTCGTGTCACATTTAATTTCTTTAATTTCCAAATAAAGTGTATAATAATTAAAATTGCAGTTTTTTTGCCTAATAAAACATATAAAACATCACGTTATTCATTTATTTTCATGCAACAAGGAATTGTATGTATATATATATATATTCTGGTATGACAGAATTCCGTGAAAGAACCCTGAATGTAAAACACGGATCTACAGATGAAAAACAATTCCTTTCAGGAGTTTGCATTCTATAAAAGTTTTTATATTAATAATAACCGAGCATAAAATCTATCCTAAATTTTCCGAAAGATTTATTGTAAAACCGGAAAAGTTTTTGATTCCGGTTATTTAAAATATATCATAATCAAATGATTACATGAAGTATATAAAATTATATAAATTATATTCAAGAATAAAAATAGAATTTGAACTACTTTGATTATTTAATAAATTTCTTGCGAATTTATATTATTATTAAAAATTAAAAAATTTGGGTTAAAATAAAGCCAAAAATATATTGCCCTAGATTTTATTACATATATTACAAAATTTGTAATTTAATTCATTTAAGCCTAATTCATTTACCAAAATTTCTAATAAACTCTAAATCCATAAATTCACTTACTAATATACATACCCATAATAATTATTCTCTTTATTACAATTTACTAATATAAAATTTATAGTAGTAGTTTTTTTTATTTATTAATAATAATATTTACTATAATATTTTATTTAATATAAATACATTAAGATTACAAAAATAATAAAACAAACAATTAAAGAATCTATACCTAATAAAAACAATAATATATAAAATTTTTTTATTTAATAAAATTGATTTGGTAACCAATTTATTATTTTATATTACTTTAATTTAAAATATTAGTATTTTATTCTATACTAATTATTTAATATTGCACAGAATTAAATTTAACAAAAAAACAGAAAAAAATAGAATTTGTTAAATAGCTTTAAATAAATTTGTAAACAACATTTTTTATTTCAATTTAAAGAAAAATAAATAAAAATATATAAATTATATTATATATTTATTTACAAAATTTTTTTTTGTAAAATATCCAATATAAATTAAAAAAATTTCTATTAATAAATAAAGTATAATTTTAAAAATTTTCTTTACTTTTATTGCAAATTCTATTAGATATTAGTCTTAAAAAGAAAAAATCATAGTAATATAATATATTTTTTTTTTATATATATAACTATTAATTTATATAAAGTAAAATTTTTAAAATATTTTACATATAAAATTTATTTTACATTTATTATAACTTTTATTAAAAATAAGTAAAATCCTTTATTAATTTAAAATTAGGCCTGACCAATTAGATTCTACATTTTATATAATCTCTCCCCCCATTTTTTCGTGATTAATACCTAATATTATACAATATATATGACCAATAATATTGCAAAATTTAATAGTTACATGATTCTTAATTTGCATGTAAAAAAAAAAATTATTTGCAGATTATCAGTTATTAAGTTGTCATATTTTGCTTTTTTTCACGTAAAGTATTCTTATAATAGAACTATTTCTTATTATTCTTAAATTTATATCTTGAAAAAACATGGCAAAATATTTCATAGCTGTATTTAGAAACTTTATAGCAAATAAACATATATTGTACAGTGTGTAAAATCTGAACCAAAAGTCATGTGCATAAGTTGATAGATTTATTATTAAATTAAGAAATCATACCTTTTTTATATATAATTTATCTATTTTTAGTAATAATTTGTGCATATTTTTTGTTGTGTAACTGTGCACATATGTATCTTATGCACATTGATTTTACACACTAATGTTATATTTTGTAGTAATAATTACTAAAGGTATTAAATGTATGTTACTTGAGCAAATAATCATAATCATAAAAGACGACCAGTTTTCAAAATTATATAAAATATTTACTTGTGAATAATTTAATAATCAAAGTGTTAAAGTTTATGTTTGCCAAAATAAGGTTAACAAATAAGTAGAAGTAAGTGACAGGTTAAATGGTAACTAAGGTTGCTTGTCTAAACCTCTTCAAAATTCTATGATTAGTTTCGTCAAAATTTTACTATAGATTTATTATAGTTTCGGCAGAATTTCAGCAGTTTTGGCATTTATAATAAGTTTCGGCAGTTTCGCCTTTCTCCAAAGTTTCACCAGTTTTTTAATATAACTTTAATATAGTTTCGGCAGAATTTCACTTTTTGGCGAAACGCCATCTTGCCTAAACCCCTAGGTTTCAGCAATCAACCTTAATGGTAACCTTAAAATTATAGAAGTTTTAGAATATAATCACATAAAATTTTTACCTATAAAATCGCTAAGAAATATAAAAATACCTAGTTTTTCTGATGCATTTGACATTATAATAAGAAATGCATGATAACCAAAACTTTCACAACTTCATACTGAACATACTCAACATGATTTATTATATAATGAAATTATTGAACTTCTTCAAAATAAAAAAGCTAGTTGGAGAAGAAGTATTCATCAAACTTTAGGGAAAGAATTTGTAAAGCATGTTGCAAATACTCTTTGGTATATTGATCTACATTTAAAATTATTACAATCTCGTTCATGCCACATACCTGTGCTTTTTAAAGAATTGGCAATATATGCAAGTGATAATACAAATAGAAATACATACAACATTGCATATCATACTAGTCATTACAAAAAAGAATCTATTTCGCATCAAAATCTGGATCTTTTAATCAAATCATTAGAACTTTCAATAGGACAACTTTGGGTGAATGACAGTAAATGAGATAATATTATTTCTGATATAATTGTCTTAGTAGATATAATGCAAAAATATAGTAAACATCTTGTAAAATGATAATTCAGCACACAATCCAGCAAATAATTCCCATATGTTTCATGTTTTTAGTTGTAAAGAAGATGATCTTAATAATCAATATCAAGAGTTAAATGATGTTATTTTACAGCATGGTTTCTATCAATATATAGATATTTATTCTTATTTTCCTATAGATATTATGAAACGTTATCAATTTCTTAAAAATCTTCAATTAACTTGTTCAATTGGAATTTATAGGTAATGTAAACTATAATTATTAATAAATGCTTGTTTATTAATTAATGCTAAGAGAAAGTAATTTTTTTTTAGATATGCACAAGGAAACTACCTTGGTATAATAACTTATATATAAAAAATACCAGAATCTGAAATAATTGATGAATTCCAAAATGAGACGTAAAAAGTTTGTATGTTGGCTAAAATTCATGAAGGATTGCCTAAGTACTTCACATGGCAGATGAAAAAGAATGTTCTTAGTAAGGTATTATTAAATTATCTTAATATTTATTTATATTCAGAATATTTTTATTGTTTAAACATTAATTTTATTTGCATAGTATTTTTTGATAAAAAATGTTACTCCTGCTGTGTTGCAAATGCTATATTTTAATCTTACTGGCAATGCAGCTGTTACATCAAATACTATTAGCCATGAAATTGAAGAAAAGTTACACTTAATATTAGTACTTGAAGATCTATCAATAATATTTGACTTGCAAAATAATAATGGATTCAAAAAAAATAAATTCGATATA